ATTTGCGACTAAGTTCTTACTAAAACGGCGCCGGACAGCACAACACTTCTATTCCTGATCAGTTCACAACAGAACGCCTCAAACACACCAGTGATGTCTTACCAGTGATGTCTGTAGCCTCGTAAACTCTCTTAGTCTACTCCCCCTCGCCCCTGGGGTCAACAAGTGGTTTGAGAACCTTGAACTCCATATTGGCTCACAAAGAAGCCTCAGCACAGCCGGAAGCCCCAAAGGGCTAACCTAATTCTACATGGTACAGAAAGCCTGCGGCTCACCCTAAAGAAGAGGCGGTTAGGTGAACGGAAAAGAGAAAAGAAACAAAAGCAAACCAAAACAAAGGAGTACTCCAAATCCAAGCATTTCGTCTCCGGATCTCTTTTTCACACCAGTCAGTGCCCCAAATGACCCGCAGCAGGTCCAAAATGGTCCCAGTCAGTGAAGGTCCTTGCCTCACCCAAATGATGCTGACAGTAACCTAAGAGAAGCCCCGATTGGTGGGGTCGGAGGATCCCTGGTGCGAACCTTCTGGCAGGAAACTAGGACAAGTTCCCGCAGCTCCCAAACAGCCTTCCCCTCTACCAACAAAAGCGTTTACAGGCGGCTGATGCCACAAGCAGGGATAGAGGGGGACCCCCAGGTGAGAAAGTGTCCCCAGCAGCTGCTGGAGTGTCCCTGGAGTCCTGACATTGGTTCAGCTAGCCACGAGCAGCCAGTCTCTCTTCCCAAGTGACCGTCAGGGCTCCTGGCAGCAGGGCCTTCCATCCCTTCATAGCTGTCCAGACTGCCTCCTGCCATTCAGGTTCACATGCTCAGGGTCATCGGGTCACCGCTAACCAAAGCAAAGGAGGCCGTACATTTTGGTGAAAAGGGAAGAATGGAGTTACTCAAAGCTCGCTCTTAGGAGATGGAGGGGTCTATTTGCCTCAAATCGCTGAGTACAGCTGGGCAAGGCTCTTTCCTAGTAAGGAGGGGGAGGGAACGCCAGGGGAAGCCGGCCTGTCCAGGGTTCTTCCACCCCTTTCAGGACCAGAACCTTCAGGGGATGAACTTGGCCTTGACCTCCTGGGTCAGCAAAGGCAGACCCAGTCCTTTCCTCTGGGCGAGGAGAGGGGGGGGAGCCTTCATGCCCTGGGCCGGAGGATGTTAGGAGGCCACTTGTCTCTAGAGGAAAAAAAAAACAAACTTCTCAAGTTCCACTTGGCAATGCCGTTTACATTCCTCATTTGAAAAATGGAGATAATTCTATCTCAAGGATGATGGTAAGAAGTACCAGTTAATGGGGAAGATGTGGCATGCATCCAGGCGCTGCACATAAGCGTTATTATCAGTACTGCAGCAACTGCGCATCGAAGACAGGCTGTCCGGGGCCAGACGGGCTGCGGGCCATCGGAAAAGCCAGGCTCCTACCTGTCCCTCATAACTGCTTCCCTGTAAGGACTGTGATCTCAGCTCCCTGCTGTTGTGTCGGAATCACCCATTAACCTGTCAAATAAGACAACCCGAACGCTCCGGGCATATCTGCCAGTGGGGACCTGGACTGTTGGACTGCAGAGCTTCCCTCGCAGGCGTGACAACTGCCCTTCGACCCACACTCCACGCCCTGCTTCTTTAAATGCTGCCCCCCCCTGGGGGGGGGTGTCACCGGATAAAATCTGAGCCGGGCGCTCCCTGTGGCTCCGCTGCTGCTGCTGCCCGGGCTGGAGGCTCCTGCAGCAGCACCTGCCCAAGCGCTCCGGGAGCCTGGGGCGAGCGCCCGGGGCGCGCGTCGGGCTCCCAAGAAGCCCCAGACTTTGACGTCCCGGAGGCCACCGCCTGCAGGTGCTCCGGCTGCCACCTCGCGGGGACGCACGGCCGCAGGCCGCCTGGGACCCGAGGGGCTCCACGCGCGGTGCGCCCGGGGCGCAGCCTCCGATCCCGACGCCGCAGCGCAGGGCCGGCCTGCGCGCCATGGGGGCGCTGCGCGCGCTGGGCAGCTTCGCCGTCGGGGACTACCTGGTGTTCGCGGGCGTGCTGCTCGTCTCCGCGGCCATCGGCGTCTACTACGCCTTCGCGGGCGGCGGCCAGCAGACCTCCACCGACTTCCTGCTGGGCGGCCGCAGGATGACCGCCGTGCCCGTGGCGCTGTCCCTCACCGCCAGCTTCATGTCGGCCGTCACCGTGCTGGGCACCCCCGCCGAGGTCTACCGCTTCGGGGCCATCTTCAGCCTCTTCGCCATCACCTACTTCCTGATGGTGGCGCTCAGCGCCGAGGTCTTCCTTCCCGTGTTCTACAAGCTGGGGATCACCAGCACCTACGAGGTGAGCGGCGGGGCGCGGGGGCGGCCTGCGGCCGGCTGTCACCCGCGCGTCTGACTCTGTCCCGCGCCCGCCGCCGGCAGAGGGGGAACCTCCGGAGCTCAGGGTCCAGGGCGCCTTCCAAAGGAATCGGGGTGCGCCGGATTCCCGCTGGCGGAGGTTCTTTCCGCACTCAGCATCTCTGATTGTTCGGCAAGGGGAAAGGTTTTTAAACTTTCTGGAGCGGGAGTCGGGACCGGTACATCATTCGAGCCGCAGCGCGCTCTTTTTGAAAGGAGCGCGGTCCTCGCGGTCCTGGGCACCACCCACGTTACAGGGAAACCGGTGGAGAGTTCGCGCCGCCGGGTCCTCCGGGAGTCAGGTACCGAGGAGGGGAAGGTGCGGCCAGGGCTCCCGTCCCGGCACCTGCGCTGAGGCCAGATTTCCCTCTTCGCTCCCTGGGTGACTTGGCCACTTATTTAATTAACCTTCCGTCGCTGTTTCCTCATCTCGGAAAGAAAATAATACCGCCTACTTCATTGGGCGGTTGGGGAGGATTCAGTGCGTTGGTTCGAGGCGTCGCATTTAGGATACTGTTTAACACAGACTTGCGTGTTGGACAGGTGTCGCCCAGCATTATCTGGTGATGGTGGAGGTTACCCTGTGATCGCCAGAGAAGTGCAGCGTAATACCTTTAAACAGCTCTGCCGTTCTCCACGGCAGGTGGTGGAGGAACACCGTGTTTCTTCTCCCGCACGCCTCCCCGGGTAGGGATTGTCTGCAGCAAAGGGCTCCCTACGGATAGTGACTGGTTTCCCTACGGAGCTGTTCAATGGGAAGGGAGGACGAGGACTCCAGGGAGCTCCTCAGCCTCCCTACCCGAGCCCCGGCCCCACACTATGTTCATGGCCGCTGCGATCTCCTCCCCGCACCATCCCCCCCGCCCCCCCATTTCCCCTCCCCCACCATGGTGCGGAGTCCCCGGCGTCTCATCTCAGCGGCTCTCTCTGGCCTCGAGTTGATCTAATGTCCGCTCCACGCCAGGCCCACTGGAGGGTGGTTTCCTAGTGAAGCTGGTTCAGCTGGTGCTGGGGACAGTGGCACAGCAAACCTTGGTGACAAATTTGGCTTGGGCACTCGCGATGCCGCGCAGGGCAAGGCACCCCCGGGGCAGCGTTGCTTCCTCTCCCTCTGGTCTCTGTGCCTGGGAGGAGCTCAGCCATCACCTGGAAGTGAGCAGCAGAGAATTTTGGCTGTATTTCCAGGTGACAAATTGGCTGCTCTAGGCAAAAATCATGGCTCAGCTCTGTTTTTTTTTTTTTTTTTTTTTTTTTTTTTTTTTTTTTTTTAACATTGTAGTGTTTAAAAAATAATTAATTTAGCACTTAACAATGAGGAGAAGGCAAAGCCAGGCATGGTGGAGCACACCTGCAGTCCCAGCACTGGGAAGGCAGAGGTAGGAGGATCACTGCGAGTTTGAGGCCAGCTCGGGCTACAAAGTGAGTTTAAGGCCAGCCTGAACTGCATAGTGCAACCCTGTCCCAAAAATAAATAAATAAATAAATAAATAATGAGGGGAAGGCAAACAATATTCCAGATTCTAGCTTCTTTTGAAAACGTGGAAAATTGGTGACATGAGACCCACATTCCCCATGGCCACAGGAACTCCAGCACACAGCGATGGCTCCCACTCAGTTATTTTCTCTTCCGGGACCCTCATGGCATTTGCATAGTTACTTTCTTATAGTGGGGAAATCCTCTGCATTTGTGTCTTTATCAAGGGAAGGGAGCTCTTGTTTCAAAGGAGAAGTGAGAGCACCTGTTTCCTAGCAGGTGTGCGGGCGGCTCCGCACATCGGTCTATGCACACGCCTAACATGTGTGTCACTCTCACGTGCTGCCTGCTGGGCCCCGTGGGCAGTTGAGCCTCTGAGCTCTGATCTGTACTTACCCAACTCCAAAACTTAGAGAGGGTTTGAACAACCTGGCAAGAGACTCTCATTCCGCAAAGAGGGGTGCTGCTCTAGTCCCTGACCCATGCCTCCTTGCGCTGCAACTGTAACTCTGACACGAAATAGCTTTCTCACGTGTTTCTAGTGAGGGCAGCAAAGTTAGCAGGGGTTCTAGCTGACAGTGGGAGAAAGCTGACTTTTGTGAAAGCTGGAACACTGGGCAATGTTTCATGTGCATTACCTGAGTCAGTGGTCAGAAACTCCTTACAAGGGAGCTTCCCTCAGAGGCCAGTCTTGCAGACAAAGAGACTCAGAACAGGTTAAGTAGCAAGAGAGCTGGAAGCAAGGCGGACACATGCCTGGCAGCATCCTGGTTGCTCCGGAAGGCTCTGCTGTGTCTGTATAATTAGGCTTGACGCCCATGCAGTGAAAACCAAGGAGGAAATACGGGACGCATAGACCTGTGAGCCGTGTCCAAAGCTGGGGCATCAGGCGATCAGGAACAGGCAAGGTGGGCAGAACGTTGTGCCCCTTCCATCCGGTCGTGGCAAAGGCTTTCTTATAGAGCATCTCGCGCATGCGCTGAGAGGTAGAGCTGTCTACACAGAAGGTGAAGTCTAACATTCTTGCTCAAATAGAAAATCTCTCCCTATTGACGTTTGCATAGCTCGAACCGGTGATCCACAAGCATCTTAAACACCTGTTTATCACTGCCTTCAACACATAGGCTCAACAGGTGTCCTGCAGCTTCCAGGCCCAATTTAATTCGCTGCTTTTTCAGTCTTTTTGGATCCAGCTTAATCTGTGCGTTTGAGCTGAATTTCTCAGGGTCTTTTTGTTTTTCCTATCATCTTGTTGTGAAATCCTGTATCGTTTTTATCGTTTTTGTGTTGTTTTGTTTTTGTCTGTGTTGTTTATTTTTTCTCTTTAAAATAAAAAAATTTTAAAATTCTTTTATTTATTTTATCAGTGGAAGTTGAGGGGTCCCTAAGTTACTCAAGGTTCAGAGGATTATAATGATCTTGACTGACTGCAGGTGCTTATCATTACGCCATAGTTTTGTCCAGACACCCTAAAACCACTCTTTAAAGCTTACTGCACCGTGACTTGGACTTTTGATTCAGCCTTTAGGTTATTTCCTCTGTAGCTTAAGGGACCATGGCTAGCTGAGAGAGCAGTAGATTTCTTGGTTATGTCTTGAGTTGGTCTTGTGTGTGCTTAACCATATTGCTCTTCCAGATCAGCTGATCTTGGAAAAGCCCTGACATATAAATACGCCCTCCAACTTAATTTGGTTCAGGTTTCTACGTCCTTACCTATGTCACATTCTGCTCTTGTTCTCTTTAGCTTCCAGCGGCTGCCCGGAGAGAGTAAAGGACCTCTCTGTCTGTTCATGTCCATTCATGTGTAATAGAGGCTCACTTAAAGAATTCCGCAGAAATAACACAGCCCTGTGTCCAAAGTTCAAGAACATCTCCCGTCTTCTAAAATGCCTTCCAAAAATGTCAAGTGATTTTGATTCAAGGAATTCATGAGGTTTGTGGATTTAGATTCCACTGGCTTTTTGGTGGAATATTTTACTTTTGAATGAACAATTTACAGCATTTCCCCCATCAATTTATGTCACTGGAGAATCTACAAAACCCTGCAAAAGAAGAGGGAGAAGAATTGCTACTATGATTCTCATTTTCAAGAGAAAGAATGAATGTAAGATGTGGAGAGGAGCTGGCTCAAGCCCGTGAATCAGGAGGGGGGCACCGTGCTGTGTATTTGTCAGCCTTAGCTATTTTTGGAGGCCCTACTATGTGTCATCTACTCATAACTGATTCTGAGATACATGGTTGGATTGTTTTCTTTTTCTTTCTTTTTTTTAAAAATTTTTTTTTGGTTTTTGGTTTTTCTCTGGTATCAGGAATTGAACTCATGACCTTGCACTTGCCAGGCAGGTGCTGCATGGTTGGATCGTTTACTTTTTTTTTTTGTTTTTTTGTTTTTTTGGTTTTTCTCCGGTACCAGGAACTGAACTCACGACCTTGCACTTGCCAGGCAGGTGCTTTGCTGCTGAGCTAAATCCCCAGCCCTCGTTTGCTTGTTAATCTGGGTATGTGCACAGTTTTGGGCGCCAAAGTTTCTAAATGTGTGTCATGGTCCTGGCCCTCATGAGTTTTTGAGCTTGGTGTCTTTTCTGAGCTCTAGGGTCCTCGTTGCTAACTTGGGCTTCTATACAGCCCCCGCCTCCTCAAGGTATTGGGAGAACCCCGTACCCAGCAAGGAATCCGCATGAGTTTGCCACAACTCTGGAGAAAAATATCAGGTGTCTTTTCCTCTAATTATTACCCAATGCTAGCTTTTCATTCCTGTTTCCTGCAATATTATAACAAGACTATTGTCAGCCTGAAACTTTTCTCTACACGCAGATCTTATATGCAAGTTTCAAACCTCTTGGGTTTCTCCTCTGGAATTCTGATTGCAATCTGTACTGTGTTACGGTACACTGCATCATGTAGAGAACGAACAGACCACGTTAGAAGACATTGCAGATCTTAAGGAGATACAGCAGGATGGTTGGTGGGCGCTGAACAGAAACTGACTTGGGGAATTTATGTTTTAAAAAATTGTGTATGTACATGTGAGAGCCATGAGCGTAGTTCCGAGAATGGAGTTGAGAGGGAGAGGGAGCAGGTCTTGGAGGAGACAGACCCAGGCCAGCTTCTCCAGGCCCTGGGGTCAAGGTTAATCCACAGTCACTTTCTGTCCCAATCTTGCCTCCCTGGGCAGAGAAGCTGATTGGCTGCCCTGGGTCATGTGATTTGCTCTTGTTCTGAAGCAGCGCCGCACTTGAGGACAATCGCATCACAGGTGCCTGGATTTGGAAAGGGTTGATTGCCCACATGAGTCGCCGGAACTGTACGGAGTGGGTGCTAAGAGGAGGGGAAGAACGGCAGATCTCTTACTCTCAGATACATGCATATTCCGCTTATGTGACAGTTTTCCAATCTTTCTAGGTCAAACTGGGGGTAAAGAACAGATCGGTGATTGGTAGGGCTTAGGGGTGAGAGGAGGCTTGACCAGGAAGTGCAGCACCAGGGAACATTTGGGGGCAGCAGAGCTACTGTGCCATAGATCTTTGTGTGGGTTAAAGGCCACTGAATTGTGCTCTACACTGAGTCAGCTTTGCTGTATGTAAATAAAATAATGGTAAACAGAGTGCAAATGGGTTATGCAATTGCCTTCACTTTCTAACCCTTTATTTCGTCAGCTACTGATAGAAACGTTCAGAGGATTCATGTAACAACTCCCTTTCTTTTTTTCGACCACAGTATTTAGAACTTCGGTTTAACAAATACATCCGTCTCTGTGGAACAGTCCTCTTCATTATTCAGACAGTGAGTAGCTCTCCATTTGTTTGTTTTCTCTCTTGTCACTGGAGTATTTTAATCCATGGCATCTGGGTGAACCTAACTTGGGAAACCTTATGTGAAAGATAAAAAGATGTTGAAAATATGAGGAAATGAAACAGAAAACATCTGTTGATACCCGTTAGGGTATTAAGCCTTATGCTGATTAAACAGTGTCTCAGCAAAAGCTTTACTTCCTGGAAAAACAGAACGACTTAAGTGAGTTTAGCTCTTGTATCGATCAAGCAAGAGATATGCTGCTTTAGGGAAATACATTTCCCCCATCCCCACCTCCACCAAGGTGACAGTTAAGGCATTAGTAGGCGACACATGGATTCCACGGAGCTGTAGTAGCTGGCATAAGAATTCTATGAAAGGGAAAACAAGTTGGATATTTTTCAATTCCTTTTTTTTGGAACAGGTTGAATAATAGATGAAAAATCTGACAGGATGATGTTAGGAAACAATTTTAGTTGTTGGAAAGCATACTTACAAAAGGAATTTGTGCTCTTAAAAAATTGAACTATAAGAGCCAGTTGAGGCAGTCACTTAGAGTGTAAAAGGGAAGAATGAGGAGCTCAGGAGGAGTTTTTAAAGACAAACACACAATTCAGTAATTTAAGAAGAATACGCGAGTAGCCAAGCCCTATGGTTGGGCCTGTAACCCCAGCATCCTGGGAGGCCTAGGCAGGGGTATGGTAAATCCCAGCCCAATCTGGGGAACTGAGCAACTTCATGAGACCCTATTTCAAAATAAAAGATAAATAAACAGAAGCGTTGGGGATGTAGCTCCCTGCAAAGGCTCTGGGTTCAAGCCCCAGTACTGCCAAGAAAAAAAAGGAATATGCAGGTGGGTATGTAGTGATTGTTACAAATGTAAAGCAGGGACTTGCCAAGTGACAAGCGACTGAAAATGCTTCCATGGCTTCCTGGGTTGCTGGAGGTTTCCCACGACTGTTGTCACCTCTGCTGCAGCCCTCTTCCTCCTGGCATTAAGCATATAAAGCTGGGAATGACAATTTGTTTCTCCAATCAAAAGCCGCCTGAGCACTGACTCCAGTGAGACAAAGTGCATTTGGAAAACTGCCGATTTGATTCTATTTTTTATCTTTGCAAAGCATGTCAAAGGAAGGTGGCTTTTGGGGTCTGGGAGAGATTCGGACACAAAGTTGAGGTAGCTCGCATTGTTCAGACCTTTCTCGGTGGGTTTAAAGATGTCCACCGGGAAGAAAAGGGGACAACTGTTAGGAAGACAGCCTGTCACAGTCTCAAATTCTCAGCCTGGACAGAATCACGATCGTGGAGAGCTGCTCATTTTTTTCCAAAAAGAAAGGCGCTTTATCATTTCTTTCCATGCAGTATAACCAGGTATTCAAATAGTACATAATATGTTTGTAATTGTAATTTGTTTGTTATGGAATAACTTTGAAATTAGCTTCTGCATGATATATTTGAAGATAATGCAGTGAAAATGAATACAATTTAAAAGAGAAAGTGATATTTTGAGAAAAAGGCTATATCTTACTATTACACTCAGGTTCAGTAAATATTTATTGATCATATGAGTGAAAAATGAAAAATAATATAAAAAAGACGGATTATAATTTGTGTTGGCTTTCAGGATTTTCTTAAGTGCATAGTCACACTTTTGTCCAATAGGCACACAAATATTTAAAAACAAGTTTTAAAAAATTTTACTTAAAAGTTATTGATGATCAGCTGTGGTTTGAAGTCAGGAATAAGGACCCATACCCTTCCAAATTTATATTTCTTTGTTTTTATATGTTTCAAATCTAGGAAAATGAACTTCAAGCTTGAATGGGTGGATCGTTGACCATTTGCACTGATCACTACATAAAAAATACCTAGAGTTTTTTAAAAAGTTGGTCATAAAAGATTTTTTTGTAACCTGTAAGCACACTATGAATAAGAATTAATTTTACTTAGCATTTTCCAAGTTATAATTTTATTAAATGTACTAAAACTGCTGTCTTAATTCCTCATTGGTTTTATAGGAAAACCAATATTTTATAATTTATACCTAGCATTCATGAATTTTGTAGTTCATAAAATTCATTTGATTTTTTCCCCCCTTAGATTCTGTATACTGGAATTGTTATCTATGCCCCTGCGCTGGCTTTGAATCAAGGTACGTTTTCTTTTTCTGTTTTTTTTTATTAGTACGTGTTTGTGATACATAATATACGTTCATTCTGGGGAATTGGTACATATACCTATTACATCTTGATCCTTTTTATTTCCCTTTTTCCTCTTCCTCCCCTCCCTTCTCCCCCACACCCAGATCTCGTTCCATTCTCCACATCATCTCCTGTCATCTGTCTTTTACTTTGCTCTTCATTTATACCCTGGATTTCTCATAAAAAAGCTAGACTGTGTGACATTTAAGCTTGTGCGTCTGATTTATTTCACTTAGCAGTATGGTCTCAGGGTGCAACCCTTTTCCTACAAATGACTCAGGTTCATCTTTCTTTATGGCAGAATAGTACTCCATTGTGTGTAAATATTACATTTTCTTTATCCACTCATATGTTGATGGACATATAAGCCACTTCCATGATGTAGCCATGAAGGTACATTTTCAAAGTGGCAAATCATGTAACTCAGTTTGGGGTTCAATTTCAGTGATCCTTATTCTCTCCATGGGGAGACAGAGATGGAAGAATGCTGCTGGTCACCGCATCAGGGTTACGCGGGGTGGGGTGGCTTCCGTGTCTGCACTGGCATCTGTGGGTTTCTGGATGGACAGCTGCCGAGTGTCTGCAGGTTTTAGAAGGGCAGACCTCACCGGGCTTCTCCTCTGGGCTGTGTCCACCAGCTGTCCTCCATTCCTGAGCAGATGCCTCGTCATCTCAATCACGAGGAATTGTACAGCCTCTCCTGTGACTGTCTCGGGAGTCCATCCCCAAGGCCTCGGGTCCATTGAGGAATCTGGCAGGGAGAGCAGGGCTTCCTTCCACTTCTAATAGCTCCACAGAGGAAGAGAAGAGCCGTGACATTGATCTGAAATGCCAGCTTGCTTCTGGTGACGGCAGTGCGGTGCCGTGCAGTGCAATAGCATCTGTCCTTGTGGTTGACCTCAAGAGGACTGTGCAGACCCACGAAGGACCTATGTACTCTTGAGCTGGCGGATAACAGCAGTGAGGCTGGGCTCACTTACGGAGGCAAATGTTCATGCTGGTCCTGCCTTCAAAAGTCTTCGGGGAAACCTCACTCTCCTTGAATTCTTCTCAGTCGGAAGTGAGTTTATCTCTAAAACTTCCTCATCAATGGACAAGTGGAGTCTGATGGGAAGAAATGCAATTAAAATGTAATTCCTGGACTTAATATAATATGGGGAAAACCTGCTCACCTACACCCTACTTCCTTGATTTTATAAGAGATACGAGAGTCATTCTCACTGTTTACAAAGCACGACAGGATCATTACAAAGAAGAGATCGTGGCATAACGCGCCCTTACCCCTAAGTGCCAGACGTGTGCCACGTCCCTGTTCTGTTCCCGGCATCAGGAATGGCTCCTTTTGTATGTCAAGAACTGAGCTAGCTATAAACTTCATAAGCTACCTGCTTGTCTTAAGCATAACTGAAGATGTTAGAGTTTTGAAGTGCACCGACTTTAATTCTGTGAAGAAATCAAAGATTCTGTTCTTAGACTCCAAGCACCATGCAGGAGTAGTTAGGACCCCAGGGACCGCATCGTGACCCCTGGCATGTCACTTGCGTACTCACCATGCCCGCCACGGTGGGTACAGGCAGAGTCACAGTGTTCGGGGTACAACTGATGCGAAATAAGCATTTATTTAACTCACTGGGAATTTAACATTCTCTAGGCTTAGTCTCTTTTTTAACTTGCTTCTTTTGTTATAGAAAACTAGACATACTCTAAAACGGAGACTAGAGTACTGACTCCTAATATAGCCACCACTCTGCATTAATAATTATCAACTTATGTCAGCTTTAATTCACTCCTGACTTCCTCCAATAGATTATTCTGTTGTAAACTTGAAATGTCCTGTTATTTCATCTGTATTTCAGCATGTCCTTAGAATTTATATAATTGGAAGCACGGAGAGCCTTTTTGTATCTGGTTTCTTTGGTTATCAAAACATTTTTGAGTTGTATTCTTTTTGTAGTGTGGCAGTAATTCTTTCCTTTCAGTGCTAGATTTTCACTGTACACATTTATCAGAATCTCTTTCACTCTTCTTGTCCATGAACATTGGATTGCTTCTAGTTTTAGGCTATTCTGAAATAAGGCTGCTAAGAGCATTCTGCTACAGTTGTGTTTTGTTTTTCTTTTTGACATGTTTGTGCTTCTACTTGAAATGTAATACAAGAAGCTGGGGGGCTGGGGATTTAGCTCAGCGGCAAAAG